TCTCTTTTTGTCTGTTCGCCTGGCTCTGGGCTCTTGGCTCTGTATCTCAATCGGCTGGAGCATGGCGTTCGCGGTTCTCTTCGTGTTGTCATTAAAATGTAAATCCATTTAATTAACATTTTCCCCAACAATTCCACTGCCGCTGCCGCTGCTGCCGGAGACGACGACCACCAGGAGACGAGACCCCAAAAAGAATTGTTATAAATTGTAAATAAATTTTGAGTTTATTTACATGCAGCGGCGAATTCGATTCGATTCGACTCGGACTGGGACTGGGACTGAGACTGGGACTCTTGGGATGCAGCTCCATCCAACATGAGAGTTTTGACATGTCCGGAGTAGAGTGTGGCCTGGCCTGTGACTCTTGGGTGGCTGTGGCGACTCTGTGACTCTGATTCTCTTCTCTTTCTCTTTTGGGAAATTAAAATTATGCATAATTTACAGATTAATGTGAGGTAGAGGGGCCGCAGCATGGTGGCCCTGTCTGGGACCCGGACTCGGGCTCGGGACTACCTCTCTACCTTCTGCCTTCTACCTGATCCGCTCGCTTAATTAAGACATGTTTCGCCTTAAGACCAGAGCCATACAGATCCGAGAGAGTCTCGTGTTGATATTTATGGTGTATATCGCTCAATATGCATATCGATTGAGTGTATTCGAAAAGCAGCTTAAACAGCTTAATAAAGCAACAGCCCAGACTTAGTCTTAGTCTTAGTCTGAGTCATCTATGGAGGCACGGAGGCATGGAGGCAGTGGCTGTGGCGGCGGCGCTTCAATTATGTCCATAATTGGTCAACAGGTAGCCGAAAATGGCTTAGCCCCGAAACTCTCTCGATGCCTAATTGAGCCGCGTCGAGGCGGAGGCAGAGGCCCGTCCGATCTCAGCTGATCTGATCTGAGATGATCCCAGATGATCCCCATTGATCGGAGCTGAATGCTGAATGCGGAATGCTGAGCGGTGCCTCAGAACTTTAGCACAGCCACATCTGGACATAAGCTCAGAATGAGTCTCGAACGAGATCAAGCGATCAGCTCATCCAACAATCAAACGATCAATGTATCCAACAATCTAGCTATCCACTCATCCAAAGATGCGATTCGATTCGACCCAAAGAAATAAAACATTCTGTTGATCACTTTCTGGCAATTTCAATTTGGCATCGATCTTCTTCACACGATCCAGGGATCTCAGTTCTCAAAGAGAGAGAGAGAGAGAGAAAGACAGAGAGAGAAACCTACTTTAATGTTAATTAAAAGCCAACTTGTTATGCCATCAACAACAATCGGCAAATCGGTGATCGGGTGATCGGGTGATCGGTCCTAGCTCCGACATTCACTCACGATCCGATGCACCTCTCCGCTGAACTTTGGCCGCCCGATCGACCGATCGCCGCATCGGCGAATCAGCGGATCGTCGATCACCGTTAACTCCACTCTGTGGCGGTTGTTACATGCCAAATCGAATCAAAGTGTGGAGTGATCATTCAATTAACCCAGCACGCCAGCAGCATCAGACCCAGTCAGCAAGCAGTCCGGCACTCCAGCAACACTCCAGCAACACCCCGGCAACAACCTGACGACAGCAATCATACATACAAGGCTGTGGCTGTGGCGAACAAGGCGAACACGGGACAGGCGGCAGCAGCATCAGCAGCAGCAGTGCCATCATCAGTTAAATTATGTGATAATATGCCAACAATGAGTGTGCAACAACAGTCAGTGGCAGCAGCAGCAGCAGCAGCAGCAACAACGAGACAGCAATCTCAACAGCAGCAGAAGCAGAGGCAATTTTACCTTTTAGCAATCAACACGCAAAAGCCCAAAACAAACGTGTTGCTCCGTGGAGCGGGAGGAGTGCAGCAGCAGCAGGAGCAGAGCGAGAGAGAGAGCGAGCTGAAAGCTCAAGCTGGGTGCAGATGCAACTTTAAGTAGCAACACGTAGCAGCAACAGCAAGAAGCAACAACCATGCCAGCAGAACGAAGGCTGGCCTGGGGCTGGGCCGGGGGGCAAAAATTGTCGCACCATTTTTGGTATTGACCGCCGGCGGCTCAATCAGTTGTCACCCGGGGCGATATATAGAGTGATTAACTGCTCCACGGATTGGATTGTACTCGTACTTTGTCAATATGCGAGAGAAGAATACGGAAAGAGAGGAGAGCAATCACCAAAGCCAACGCCAAAGCCAAAGATGCATCTCCTTGGATGTTGCTGCACATCGTGACGATGTTTGCTGCACTCCAGATACGTGCCGCAATGTGCCATGTGGCTATCCGGCTATGGCAATCATATGTGCTAAAAATCTAGGCAATATTTGATGCATAATTGCATTTGCTTTGCTGTGCTTTGCTGTGCTTTGGTTTGGTTTTGTTCGCCAATCAATTCAATCAGCCACGTCAATCACGAGACAGAGCCAGACATCAATCTGATGGATGGCTGTGTGATGTGTGCTGTGCTGTGCTGCCTGCCGGCTGTGTGTGTAATCGCACTTCACGTCTAATTAGACTTGTTTATTCCCATTTGGACAAACTGAAATGAAAAAAAAGTAGCAGCAGCAGCACAGCAGCCACATTGCATTGCATGGCATGCTTATATTTTTATGGCTATCTTCACGGTTATTTTCATTTAAATCGCAATTCAAACTCGGCACAAACTCAACTCAATTCAACTCGACTCGACTCGACAGCAAAATGACATTTTAAATGACAATTTTGCGCCTTAGGCTATGCCAGAGCACAGGAGGAGGAGAAGGGGGATTTGGTGGTTTGGGGCGAATGAAAAATTAACGTAATAATGCAAATTGTTTTATCAATAAATTCTAGACACACACATGCACCACAGACAGGCGTAATTATGATTGTTGCTGTTGAGCAAAATGAATTTATGTGTCAATAAATTTCAAGCAAATTAGCAAATGACGTTTTAAGTAGAGGACGCGTTTGCGACGCGTTTTGCCAGCGATTTATGGACTGCGGCGCAGCGACGGCGACGGCGGTGGCGGCGGCGCTTCGACTCGCTCGAGCTCGAAAGCTCGGGTTCGATTTGGTTCGCTGCGACTGACTGCGACTGCGACTGCGACTGCGACTGCGACTGCGAGTGTGTTCGGCTCGGTTCGATTTGGTTCGCTTCGGCTCACAGTGGGCGATCGGACCAATCGAGCACGGAAAAAGGAACGGCTTAAAAGATAAGAAAGCGCATTATGAATGTATTTTCAATATTGAAGGAAATGAAGGAAATGTTTGAAGTAAAAACTAAACTAAATGTTCGTTTACTCTACCGATGCAAAATTTGACGGGAATTGAAATTGGACTTTTTCCGAGCTAGATTGCTAAAATCACCCACTGTTCGGCTGTGTGTTTGATTGATGAGCGCCGCGCGGATCAGCCGGCCATAAAGTGTTTGCCTTTAAAAGGCAATCCTCGGAGTGAAGGAGTGGGAGGAGGGAGCCAAGAAGGCGGTGGCGGAGCTTTTCGGGAAGGTTGGAGAAAAAAGCGTTTAGTTCAAAATGGCGGGCAATTAATCAGTTTTTTTTTGCTCCTTTTTGGACTTGGTTTCGGACACGTGAAGTGTTCGACCGAGTGCGCTGTATTCATACTAATGAGTGCGGTGAATGTGAATGGGAGGAGTGAATGAGTGCGTTGAATGAGGGGCTAGGAGTGGAGCGCTGATGGGACCCCGACACCCCTCCACTGATTGGATAAATTCCAACAAAGGCAATGAGAGCGTTATTGCCAGATTCCACGTTGATTCACAGTTCAAATTTCCCATAAAGGAATGACATCATGCGCCGATTTGGTTTCACATGATCATCTGGCACTTCGAGCATCTCTTGGCCAGCACACACTCCACTCGATGGACCCATTCGGCTGGCCGTTAATCCATCCCCAAATGAATGCTATTCACAGCACTCACATTAGTCACACCTTGCGCTGGCCCTCGCCATTGGTGGTCGCTGCAGCACTGCCTCTGCCTGCCCGCAAGAGGCGTGCGAATCGGGCTCGGATTCCAGATACTCGTACCAGATACCCGCCAGAGGCCGCACAAGACACACGTTCGTTCTATGAGATACACATTGTGGGTTGGTTGCTGGTTGCTGCTGGCTGGCTGGTTGTTGTTGTTTTTGTTGTTGCCTCATTCCGTTTCATTCGCTCGCTCGTTGTTTCGTTTTGTTGTTCTCTTGTCGAAACAACGAAAGTCTGCAAGTTGTTGTTGTTGTTTGTAGTTTTTTTTCTCTCTCTTTTCTGAAATTACACGAACAAAATGGCGTCTGGGGGCTGCTTGTGGGGTCCACACGCAGCGGCAACAAACTGGCTGTCGAGACTCTGTCCGGGTCTAGGCCTGTTTGTCGCTTAATCGAAGTCGAGCCGCGACGAGTTATGGTAATTAAAAAGGTGTTCCTTTTGCAACAGTCGCCCCCCCGCCCCGAGCCGAGCCGAACCGAACCGTGCCGAAGCGGATCGAAGTGCCTTGGATTCAGAGGGGGGCTTGGGGCTGCTGTTTTCGAACGAAGGTTGCAGGAAGGCTTGGGATTGCTTGGGATTGCTTGGGGGGTCTGGGTCTCTGCGACTGACTAAGGCAGACAAATTCATATTTTATGACACAACTTTGTATTGGTAACAGCACCACAGTCCCTTCTGGCTCTCTCTTCTCTGTCAAGTCTCCTTTGTCCCCAGCTGGAGCTCTCCTCCGCGTCCTCCCAGCGCTCTCCTCGTGCTCTCTGGTGGGTGGTCGCTGCTGATGTTGCAACCGTCAGCTATGTCGCTGCATTTTCGGCCTAAGCCGTTGCCAATCCACGGCGTCTCTGGATTCCGCTGTGTGTGAGTTTTGTCAAGTTAGGGCCGCCGCGTCAGAGTCAGGGTTTGTCATGGCTTCGTCGTTCGTTTTGGGTTCGTCGTTGGTTTTTTTGGTATTCTTTGGTTGGTTGCACTGGCCACAGTTGCAGGACAAGCTCACTAATCCGCCCTTCCGTTCTCCATCCGTTGTATCTCCCGCTCTCCAACAGACCATACTGAACTCGATGCACAAGTATCAGCCGCGTTTCCACCTGGTGCGCGCCAACGACATCCTGAAGCTGCCGTACTCCACATTTCGCACGTACGTGTTCAAGGAGACCGAGTTCATAGCCGTAACTGCATATCAAAACGAGAAGGTAAGTGTCCTATAGTCCCATGGTGCCTTGGTCCATCCCGTTTCATCCGATCCGAACTGTACTAATCTCTTGTTTCTCCTTTGGCAGATAACTCAACTGAAAATCGACAACAATCCCTTTGCGAAGGGCTTTCGTGATACTGGTGCTGGCAAAAGGGAAAAGAAGTAAGTATCACTGGAGTACGAAGAGGGTTTAAAGCGCTGATAGATCAATTGGCGATAGATCTATTCTAAAAGAAACCTGATAGCGAAGGATGTCGTTCCTTTTGGAAAGGGGATACTTTCAACAGTCTAAATACAAGTCCTGTGTACCTACAGAAAGCAGCTCCCTCTTCCTAAAATGCACTCCCTTCCAGGCCGAATGTTTCCCCGCTCTGTGTCCCTTTTTCCATTATCAAAAGGCAGACTAATCAGGACTCGCAAAGGATGTGCTAAAGGGCTGGTGGCGGAAGAGGAGAGCAGGAGAAGATACTGCTTTGGGCAAATCGTTTGCCCTTTTGTGGCTGTCGGACAATCGGCAACTTTGCTGCAGGACTCTGGGACTCAACTAATTTGTCGCTGGACAGAGTTTTCGGGGAGGGGGGATATCTGGTCATCTCTATTTCTGTTCTGTTCTATTTGTATCTCTTTCTGCTTGCCATCTCTATCTGTATCTGTATCTGTATCCCTATTACAGCTCTATTTCTGTTTGGGGCTTGATTAAAACAAAAACAGAACTGAACCGAACTGAACGGAACGGAACGGAACGGAGAGACGACATTAATGTTTGTCAAATCTATGCGGAACTAATTAGCCTGCAGATTGTCAAATTGCAAGTCATACAAAAGCTGCCACTCCAGGGATGCGGTGGCGAGGACGAGGTGGTGTGGCCGGAATGATGTTGTTCCTGTTTAATGATGCCCCTGGCTTTTGGTAGCCGTCCTCCATCCTCCTCCATCCGATAATGTCGATGACTGGCACCTCACAGCAGCAGCAGCAGCAGCAGCATCAGCAGCTCGAACATGTAATCCATATTGATGGATTGATTTCAATTTCCTGTTAGCTGCTGACTGCTGGCTTCTGGCATCCACCCCACCCCACGCCGTCCCGTCCCGTCCCGTCCCGTCCCACTGCTGCACTGTTCCAGCGACCCATCGACCCCCTGAGGGGCAATGATGTCGGTCAAAATGCTTTGACTTTTCACCAACAGAGATTTTCCAATATCTATCTCTCTTTCTGTCGCTCTCCATGGAAGAGCGCAGGAGGAAAGTGATTCCAAGGCTCCCCACTTGGAGTGGTTCCGGTTTCCGGCCACACACCCACATCTCTCCGCCCACAAGGCCGCAGTGGGTGCCTGTAGATGGGTGCTAGGTGGCTCCTGTGATTCTCTGACTTAGAATAATGATGAATGACATTTAATGGAGGAATGGCCTTGCCCCCGCCTGTCCATGTCCATTTCCATTTCCATGTCCGCGTCAGTGTCCCTGTCCCTGTCCATCCCCATGTCTAGGTCTATGTCTATGTCCATGCTAAACGTTACAAATCAATTTTCAGTCTGTATGCCAGCGATGACAAGGCGGCTCCTATATCATCGTGCATTCCGGCTCTCTCCCATTGACACAAACAATTCACTCAAATCGGGTTCTGGGTTATGGGTTCTGGGTTCTGGGTTCTCGGTTTTTTGGTTGCCCTTTTTCCACTGATTACTTCAGCCTTGATTGGCATTAGCGTGTCTGTTGTCTAAGCCAGAGCTTTTCCACTTTTCCACCCACCCACCATCAGCGCCCCTGTGTCTTGTGGCCACAAAATTGTTTTCCACTTTGTGCCAAAAAAAAAAAAAAAGAAACCAACAACAACAACAAAATAGAAAAGTAAAAATCACAGAATTTTCCGGGTCATTGATGTGACAGCAAGTTGGCAGTTCAGTCATTCAGTCAGTCAAAGACTGTCATTCCGTTTCTGGAGGGGGGTGGCAGGGAGGCAGGGCGCAAAAAACTTGCGTCAATTGTTAATTAAATGCCGGCAGGGTCTGTGGCAGGGGCAAGGGCTGGTGCAGGGGCTGGTGCAGGGGCTGGGGAGCCAGAAAAAACCGCTAAACCGCTTACAATTCCAGCGAGCAAGAGTGAGGAGGGCGGGCAGAACTTTGAGCTGTAGTCCTGCCGAAAATCCCTGGCAATTAGTGACGACTTAGTCAACTCTTTTTTGCCCCTGTCTGTGGTCCAGGTCTCCAGGTCTCCAGGTCGGCTCTCTTCTCTCTCTGTTGGTGTCTCTGTCTGCTTCTGTAACCTTTCAACCCTTCCGGACCCCCCACCCTCGGCCGTGAGCAGCCCAGCCCCTTCATTAGCGGCAAGAACAACAATGCCATGACGACAAAGAGTCAACGATGGGTGTTGTGGCTCCTGATGCCAATGCTAATGCCGATGCCAATGAGGGCCCTTCACAGCGAGAGACAGCGAGAGATGCTAATTGGTGGCAAGCACCTCTCCCCCCCTTGGCCGGCCTCCCCGCCTGCCGCTTAACCGCTTCGCAGTGCGCAACTTCCGCCGGAATCGCATATTCCATCCCATCGCGAGATGGCCTTTAGGCGAAATGGGAACCGGAAATCTAAAGTGAAAACGTTTTAACAGCCAGCAGCGGCCGTCGAAGCAATTGAAAACTTCTTTTCTCTCAGCAGAAAAAATAGGTCTCACACCCCAGACGCAGCAGCAGCAGCAGCAGCACTTATTCAAGCCCCCAACCCCCGTGCGCCCTGCGCCCTGCACCCTGCGTCCTTCACACTGCATCACTCTCCTTTTCTTATTTTTTTTTGTATTTCCATCGAGAGGCTAGGAAGCCCGAGGCGTTAGTTGACAATAGGCAGTCTCTCGAGCGGATATGAACTCTTGGCAGTAGAGCGAGATATAGATATACGAGATATAGATGGGGAAAGAGCACGGGAAAGATCTGGAGAGGGAGCGCCTGAGAGAACGATAGAACGAGAGGTGGGAAAAGGTGAGGGGTCGGTAGGCGAGCTTTTGTGGGCGTTGTTGGGCTGTTTAAGCCGCAAATTTAGACGTAATTCAAAAATTACAGAGCACACAAAACGGCGCAATTTCTTCCTCCATCCAGCCAGAGGGGGCCCCTTTTGCAGGGCGTTCACTTCGGCACACAACAACAATGCTAGAGAAAAGGGCAAAGATAAACGTCTTCTTCAGGGCTGGGTCTGGGGCTGGGGCTGGGTCTGGGGCTGGGGCTGGGTCTGGGGCTGGGGCTGGGTCTGGGGCACCCGAATTTTATGGGCGAGCTGCATGTGAGACGAGACCCAGGAGCGGATCTGGCCACCAACAGGGAAACGCCTTGCAGATGGAAGTCTCTCTTTCCCCAGTATTCGGATATGCTTTCAGATGAGTCTTATCCAAATATAAAACCTCTGGGTACATACATGCCATTACTCAATGCTGGGACAATACCAATGACAGGTCCAAATACCCGCTTATTAGGGTTATTAGTCACCATAATCCCTCCTTTCCACCCCTTCTTTCCCATCGACATTCGATGTAATCTTTCGCCCTAAACTGGGCGCTGCTGCCTCCGCCTTCTCCGCCTCATCCGCCACCGGGAACCGCAATTGTTTTTCGTTCCGTCTTCGACTCCGTGCCGACTTCGGAGTTGGCTTTCTTGGCCTTTGTAGTTAAGTGGGTGGGTCAGATACGTTGCCTGGATTAACACAAATTGATTTGCTATTAAATTAGGCTCACACACCCGTACACCCGTACACCCATACACCCATACACCCATACACCCATACACCCATACGTACTCGTACACCTATGCATGAGCCAGGTGCCGAAATGGTCGAATGTGGAAAAACAGTTAAGTGTAAAAGAAGACGCCTCTGGCGCAATGCCAGAAATGCAGCCAGCAAATGGGTGGTTCGCATGGGTGGTTTTGGGTGTGGTTTCTCTGATAATGATACACACACGCACATACCACACCACACACACATGCCAGAGTGTGTGTGTGTGGCTAAAATTGCCCAATTTGTGAGCCCAGCCACGGCTTTGATGTGTGAACAGCAACAGCGCGCGGAAAAAGAATGAAAATGAAAATTGAAAGGCCAGGATAAGGACCTGGACAGGGCCAAAACAGGCCCAGTGCAGACACTAAATTACACTAACGTGTTTTGAATTATTTTTCAATTTCATTGTCAGCCCCAGACATAGCCATAGAGACACGGCCGTAGACTGCCTGTGTGGGGCCCGTTTCCGCCTCGCATTGTTACAATTCAATTAAGGCTACGGTCCTGACGGTCCTGACAGCCCTCCAGACCAGCAGCGGGAACTGGGGCAGGGACAGGGACAGGGACAGGGGCAGGGGCAGGGGCAGGGCCCACAGAATGGGGCGGATGGCTGGCTGCCGGCAGCGTTGGTTTATCATTTAGCAGATATTTCAGTTAGCAACAATATTATCAAAGCTTGGGCCTCTGATCCCCGGAAAATTCCGCCGGAAAATAAACCAGAAAATCCAGAGGATTCGGTCGGTAGGCTGTCCTTTATGGAGGGATGGGGGAAGGAGTAATAGTTCCTTGAAAAGGGGATTCTCGAAGGGATATCTCTAAACCAAAAACATGCACAGGGATGTTCTAATTTGTGTCCTTGTCCTTCGTACAACTGTTGTTACAGGCAGGCGCTGATGTCGAATCGAGGGTCCGACTCGGACAAGCTCAATCCGACGCACGTGAGCAGCTCCCGGGCGCCGCTACATCTGGGACATGCCGGCCGGCCGCCACACATGCATCCGCACGCGGCGCTCCTGGACCAGCAGGACGATGACGACAAGCTGCTGGACGTGGTGGGGCCGCCGCAGAGTCCGCTCTTGCCTTTGAGCCATTCGCTGCAGCAGATGCACGCGCACCAGCACTCGGGTGAGTACTTCAGAAGGGAGATTTAGGATCCACCTCCATCCAGGATCCATCCACTTGCGGACTAATCTGACTTCTTCACTCTTCTATCTTCCTCCTTCTGTTTCCATCCATCAGCCCTGGCCGCTTGGTTCAATCACCTGGCGGGCGCCGGAGCCGGGGAGCATGCGGCGGCGGCTGCGGCCAATGCCAACGCGGAGGACGCCCTCCGGCGACGCCTGCAGGCGGACGCAGACGTGGAGCGCGACGGCAGCGACTCGAGCTGCTCGGAGAGCGTCGGCGGCAGCACCGGCGGTGCCTTTCGACCCACCTCCACGGGCAGCCCCAAGGAGGGGATGGGTGCCACGGCGGCGGCGGCGGCCGCTGCAGCGGCTGGCCTCAATCCCGGAGGCAGCTACCCCTCGCCGAACATCTCGGTGGGCCCACCGATCCACCCGTCGCCGCATCTGTTGCCTTACCTCTATCCGCACGGCCTCTATCCGCCGCATCACCTGGGTCTGCTGCACAACCCGGCAGCGGCCGCCGCCATGAGCCCCGCCGGCCTCAATCCCGGCCTGCTCTTCAACGCGCAGCTGGCGCTGGCCGCCCAGCACCCGGCGCTCTTCGGCCATGCCTACGCGGCGGCCGGGCACACGCCGGTCTCTCCGCTGCAGGGCCTCAAGAGCCACCGCTTCTCGCCGTACAGTCTGCCGGGCAGCCTGGGCTCCGCCTTCGACGCCGTAACCCCGGGCTCCAATGCGAACCGCAGTGGTGGCGGGGGCGCTGACGGACCCCCACCCGGTGTCCTGGGCGCCGGCGGGTCCGGCGGAGGAGTGGAGAACGGACCCCGCAGCCTCAGCTCCAGCCCCAGGCCGCGGGCCTCCTCCCACTCGCCGCCCACGCGCCCCATATCAATGTCGCCCACCACGCCGCCCTCGCTGCTGAAGCGCCAGGCCCAGCAGCAGCCCCAGCACTCCCCCTCGGAGCTGAAGAGCATGGAGAAGATGGTCAACGGGCTGGAGGTGCAGCACAATGGCAGTGCCGCTGCTGCGGCGGCTGCTGCGGCCGCGGCCTTGCAACTGGCCGAGGAGACGGCCCAGCTGCACCACCACACGCAGGCCCACCACCAGCATCCGCACTCGCATTCGCATCCGCACTCGCATCCGCACCAGCAGCCGCACCATGGGGCAGTGGCGGCCGCCACGGATCAGTGACAATTACTGGACGGCCGCTCCGATTGCGAGGAGGACGGCCTGGAGCTGGAGCTCGAGATGGAGGACGATGTGGACGATGATGAGGACGAGCACGACCGCAGCTCGGTGATCGACCTCGATGTCGATGTCTGACCGCAGACGGGTCTGTTGCAACGCCTTTAGCCTGCGCCCCAACTCAGCTGGGTCCGTGCCCCCAGTCCGCTCTCGTTCCCGGCACCGTTCCCGCTGCCGGCCTTGTCCTGGTCCTCGCCCGTGGCGGTCGTCTAGCGACCCTCCTGCTGCTCCTGCACCTGCACGCCCCACTGTTGTATATAGTATCGGCGCGACCTTCCCCCGAGCAGAATTTTAGCATGTAGGCATTTGTAGTATATAGTGGAAAACGCAATCCCAATCTCCTACCCCCCTCCAAGGGTGTAGCCCTCTTTCACTTCTGCCCTCTAATCCGCTCCTGGATGTGGATGGATTCGCTCTGTGGCTTCGCTCTGGATTTGACCGCACAGAGACAGTACTTTTTTTGTCCCGTTTCTAAGCAACGTGTAGCCCGTAGAACCTCTGGTGGGGCCCGATGCAGAGCGAAGAAGAAGCGGAGGTATATGCAGAGAGAGAGAGAGAGAGAGAGGAGGGAGGGGGGAGGAGGGCCGATCTTGGTTCAGTGGGGACTTAGCATGGAACCCCGAGACACCTTTGTAAACAGAACATAAATGGATAGGAAATGCGAGCAGAAGAAAAGCTCCATATCCGAGCGGACAAATTTATAAATGGTATATATATCAGACATTTATATACCTACAGATACACATCCCCCCACACCCACACACACACTCACAGACACCCATACACATATATGTATATTGATATTGTACGATTGGAAATAGCAACATCAAAGATGGCGCCTCTATATATATATATATATACACATACATATAGTACACATAAAGTATATATATATATATATATACACACATTGTACGATTGTAATCTTAGTAAAAAGCAGCAAAAATTAAGAAAAAACATAAAAAAGATAAAAAAAAAAATAAATGCAATTTTTTTCTTAGCTCTAGGATGAACAATTTTTTTTTAGTAAACTTAAATGAAAATTAATGATAAAACCTATACAGATATAGTATATATATACACATGGATATATATAAATATATATATATATATATATGTTTAAAAATAATTTATGTAGCTGCTAAGTACCAAGATACCGTAAACACACGAGCACACACAACACACCACACCACTCACACATACAGCCCCACTGATACCCACAGCCCCCGAATTAATGTTTATTTTTGGGGCCACCGTGGCCCGGGGCCCGGGGCCGGGGCGATTCGCTCCTGTATGTCCCGTGCAGAAACACGCACCTAGCCGAGACACGAACCCAGTTGCAGGCCCTTGGGGAAATGCTTAAAACTAAAAAAAAAAACAAAAGACCCCCCAACAAAACTATGAGAACTTTTCCTAATTTAATCATACGTATATATGTAATGTTTTTTTTGGCAATTTTTTTTTCCCTACATTTAAGTTCTAAAACCAAAGAACAAGATAATATTTTTTTGTATTTTTATTTAAGGTTTTTTTTTTTGTTTGTCTATTTAGAAAAGACTCGCTTTGGGCCCCATTCTGAGATGCTAATTTTGGGGCGCGGATGCGAGTCTGATGTGTGTGTTTATATCATATATGCATATGTAGTACAGGTATACAATAAAAAAATATAATTTTTTTTAAATTAGTAGTAAATGAGAAAGGGAAATGAAGTGAAGTAGAAACTGAAGGAAATTCCTCTTTTGTTTTGCGTAAGTGAAAGAGCAAGAGACAGAGAAAGGGAAGAGAAGAGAAGACGATAAGAGTTGAATTCAACGCATGTTCCTCGCATAATTTAAGAGAGAGCGACAAAGACGCAAAGCTGACAGACAGGCCACGCCCCCTATACCCCCATACTCCCCCTTCCCATCTCACAAACACACACACACACGCAACACACACACACACACACACACACACACACACACACACACAAAAAGATAAGAAAAAGAATAAAAAAAATACAATTTCTGTAGCAATTTGTTTTCCTTATAATCCCGATAATGCGAAACATCATCCCTAGCACCACCACCACCAAAACACCACTATCATCATCATCTTTATCATCTTTATCACCTGCATTATGATATTAACAGACAAACAAAAAAAATCAAATGGATACTTTTTTTTCTGTTGGTTTAGCTGTTTTTTGAATGAATTATACGCAAAAGCAATATTAATTATAGTTAATTAAATTTAAACAAATGCAAACAGCCCGAAAAGAACAACAACAACAACAACAACAAAAGCAACAGCAACAACAAAAACAAATTCAATATATACAACAAATGTATATGTATATGTATTTGTATAAAAGAATATATATGATATATATTTAAATATATATGTATGTATATGGATAAAATTAAATGAAGAAGCAACAACACCTCATGTCACTGCAATTATATATAAAAATTAATTAAACAACAACAAAACAAAGGAAATTAAATAAAAATTATTACTAAAAAAAAGAATCCCGTCGATATTTATTGTACAACAAGAAACATGAAACCGAAACCGAAATCAGTTTGTTTCGTGTTTTATTAGTTTTCCTGTTTATTATTTGCCTGGTTTCGACGGCTTTTGGCTTTTGGCTCTTTGTTCTGGTGGTTTTCCCCCTTCCCCACCCCACCCCTTCTGCCGCTTACGTTCATTGTTTATTAGGCTGTCGTTTGTCGCGTGTCGTTTGTCGGGATTTCCTCTGCCCCTCCAAAGGGAGCCAAAAGAGCAGTGCGTCAATAAATAAATAAATAAATACTGAAATGGAAATGGAAATGGCGGACAAACAGTGCGTGGCATAATTAGCTCATCATCCTCCGGCTCACACGGCTCCCCCATCGAACATCCTCTGTCATGAGCCATGAGGAGCACACATCCTGGCACCCAGCACAGGACAGACAGGGTTGGATTTACAACAGCGCTTCGCTTTTATTGCTCCCTAATGAGGATCCAAATCGCGGCCAAAGATAAGTACGTGAGAGATCCGCTAGGACACGAAATGTTTGCAGCCAAACAAAAAGAGAGTCAGTCAGAGGATGCTAGAACTAAGCCAAACAGATTATTTACAAGTTCCCTCAAACGTTTCGAGAATGTCGCAATGACTCCTAAGATTTTGCATGCCCGCAATCTGTGCTACGTTAGTAACTCGATTAAATGGGTATCCTTCTGCTTACCCACTCAGCCTAATAGATTGGACCATGATGATTTAAGCACTTTGCCAACTTTTGCGATCCAAACCCAACCCCAACCCCAACACCAACACTTAAACCTTCTCCGGATATCGAAGGTGTAACATTTAATTCAATAAAAACTTTGCCTGCAAATTGTGAACCAAGTGGAAAGAGGGGTAACCGAGGCTTTGGATTAGGCGAGCGACGATTATCGCCCGGCTCGAGTCGGCTAACCCTCGCTGGAGGCGACGTCGAGTCAACTAAGCCAAGCGTTAAGCACTCTATGCCGAGCTAATAGAATTCGACACGAATGCTGAATCCTGCACTTGTCGCGGGCGGCAGATAGTGGATTAGCCGGGGATAAGGATCCAGCTCCTCCAGGGGAGATGGGCATCATCCATGTCCGGAGCACGTCCCCGTCCCCGTCTCCGCAACCCGCAATCCGCAATCGAATGCGCCGCTAGCCCGCATCGGACGAGAGCTGCTCGAATGGTTGGTTGGTTACGCCCGACTGCCGTCGTCGCCGGTTGTAAATTGTAACGCTTCACTAGCAAAGGCGCAAAGAGAGCTTAAGTGCGGCAGTAAAACCCTTTGGTTAACGTAACCCTTTCGGCGGCCCACGCATAGCCATAACCCCCCGACTCCAACTCCGACCCCGACCCCGACCCCGACCCTGTCAATAAGTCTGAGTGTTTTGGGCCGAAAGTCAAATAGAATTGAATGCGGAACATAAATTACGTATTATTAATTGCCGCCGACGCTGCCGTCACCAATGTCGCCAGTGTCGCCAATGTCACCACCACCATCGCCAACTGCTCGACAAAAGGGTTACGTCGATGTTGACAACAATAACTCCTCTGGCCACGATCCCTCTCCTACTCCACCAGGCACAGTCATTGGCTTCATTCCACAAGCTTTCAGGGAGACCATTCAACTATGATTAGTAACGAGAGAGATTCACGAAGAAAGCATCTAAATAACGAGTGTGGAGAGTAGGATTTGAGGGAGCACAGGGGGATACAAAATCGTATCAAACAAGTAAATAATTTATGTTATGTAACGAGTAAAGTGATAGAGAGCAGATCTCATCAGCGAGACGGACTACGCATCTACAAGATACGAGCTCTCAGAGTACATTGTAATGAGTGAAATTATATTACTTTGAATGTGTGCTAAGATGTGCAAAGTCGCAGAACACACTGAGTAACGGTGGCCATAGTCCAGCGAGTGTAAAGTGGCTAAAAAAAAGCTACCATCAATTAGCGACGAGTGCCAGCACAGAGATGTGTATACTCAATCTTTGGGCTCGTTGTGAGATCAACGAGCAACTAACCATCGGAGGAGCCATCAATCAAAAGAGCTTCCAGCATATCATTTGGGCCAAACGACTAGAGCAGAACATGTAAACACTCGCTGATATAAATATTTAGATATCTCCGCCACTAACCATGAATTGGCATTATCATAACTTGCGTTTTATTGCCAAAACATTTATGAGACAGACAACCCCAGAGGGGCGGAATGAAATGGAGGGAGAGTGTGCGTCAAAGTGCGTGTTGAAAGTTCTTGCGGGTTCTAGCATACCCATGCTCCATACCATGAGGGCGGTGCCAGTGACAGAGTCGCAGCCATAATGATCATAATAATAGTTTTACGGGTTAGAGAAGTCACAGTCACAGCGACAGCCACAACGAGCAGCAATAATTTAGCAGCAACTCGACTCAATGGCCAACACGGATACAGACACGGACAGGGCCACGGACACGGCCAGGGACAGGGACAGGGACACGGCTGGGGACATTGGGTTAAATCGACGAAATGCTTGTCATACTTTCGATTCCGAACCCTTTTGCGGTGCGTAGACATTGCGTGAGTTGGCCCAAAGGGTGGTGGCATGGCTCGGACCGGCCCGGCCCAGCACGGCCCGGTCTTGCCTGGTTTCGGATTTTCCTGAGGTTGGTTCAAGTTTGTTATGCATATTTGATTAGTTAGCGCATTTTGTGGATACGCACAGGAAGTTGACTCTTTGCGTGCAGCACCGCGAAAGGGTTGCACACCCCACACTCCATAAATGTCATCCCCATCCCCATCCCCACTCCCATTTCCATCCCACACGATCCGATCCTATGGGCGGAGTTGTTGTTGTACGTAAGCGGCCGCACGGCAGCAATTAAAATGCTCAACTTGTCAACAACGCATTCCCCGTACCCCGCACCCCGTACCCTGTAACCCCATCGCCCACCCCGTTGTCATTCCTGCTGTCATTCCCTTTTGCCAGGCTTTGATTTGTGAACAACAAAAGCCCAAAACTGTTGACAACCCGACAATGCTGATGATGATGATGATGATGAGGATTTCGATGGCGATTCATGCGATGATTCTGATTCTGATGATTCAGTTGGCGACTCTCTCGTGATGATTCGCGTGAATGATGAGTGCTTGAATGGAATGTTCTCATTATCAAAGCTCCCATCCCAGAGTCCATTCAAAGACTAAGCCCTCTTTTCGATTCTGAAAATGCCATCTTTGATGCTTCAAAGCGTGATACGTGCGATATATAATTATTTAAATACTAGAGTGCACACAAATTAGTTTCAATAGATGTATATGTATATGAAATAAATCAATGCAGTTTATACAGGAAATGTGTTAAGTGTTTTGCGCATTTTCTATGAGATATTTAAGTACCGAATAATATCTGTCTGTATTTTTAACCAAGTGATAGAGTA